CCCCACAAAACTACATGAAACGCCAGCTCCCGCCCCCCCGCTAATTCAGACGCCACGCGCCTCCCGCACCCCTGCCGCAGGCCTCGGAGGGCGATGCGAGCATGCCCGAGCCTGATGAGGTCGTCGCCGCGCTTGGGGCGCGGGCTTGTAGCCTCGGCTCGGCGGCAGCAGCGGGGGTGGCTGCAGTAGCAAGGGCGGTGGTGGTTCGAGCAGCGGTGGCAGCGGTGAAGCTGGCGACGGCGTTGGCGGCGGTGGGGTCTCGTCGGTCGTTCTCGGCGACGGCCCCTGGCGGGCTGCGACTGGACAGGGCCCTGGGGTCCATGGGCCCCTGGCGGGCTGCGTCCGTGACGGCCATGGGCCCCTGGGGGCCGGACCGATGGCAATGTCTCGCAGGGCGTCTCAGGGCGCCAGCGGCCTCCGCGTGGCTGCATCAGGAGCGCGTGACACTCACCGCTCAGGGCCCGCCGTCACGTTCTCCCCGCCCTCTGGGCGGACCCTCCTGTGCTCCGACCTGCCCTCCTACTGTCGCTGCTGCGGGCTCAGCACGTGGCGCCCCCGCGCGATATCCCACTCCATCGCGGCCGACCGCGTCTGGCAGATATGAGCGTGCCGCAGCCTCCTGCGCCTGCGCCCCCAGTGGACGAGTCCGTTGCTGGCAGTGGCTGTGCGCGCATCGAGGACGTCGGCTCAGTGGAGACCGCACCTCCGGGGGTCCAGAGCGAGCCCCACGCGGCGGTTGGCGGGGTCGTGAACCAGCCAGAGACGGACCCATGGCTGCAGCCCACCCCCGTCGACCTTGGACCTGACCCATGCGTCGCGGACGGCGCGCCGTCTCACCAGAGTTCCGACCCATTCTCGTATGAGACCCAGCCTTCGTCGTCGGAGACCGACGTGCCCTCGCCGCCTGAGGGGCCTGAGCCGCCGCCAGGGCTTTACCTGCAGGTGCCGCCGCCGCCGCCCTTGCACCCGCCGACTGAGAGCGCCGACTCCGTTCTGCCATCCCAGGACGTGCTGCCAAGCAAGGCCCCACCACCAGCGCTGCCCTTCAGTCCGATCCACGCCCCGCCGCTCGCTACCATCCACGGCGTTCCAGCAAAGCCACCGCCGGGCGTGTCTGCGAGCGTGTGGCTAGGGAAGCCGCCGCCAGCCTCCCGCACGCCGCGCAGGATGGCGCTCCCGCCACCACCGCCCAAGACGCCTCCCGCGGGCGCGAAGGCCCCGCCCGCGCTGGCTTCACCAGCCCCGAAGCCAAAGCCCAAGCCGCCCCCCCCGGCCTTCCTCGCGGGTGAGCGTTCCGCTCGCGAGCTCGCGCTGGCAGCGCGCGCGCCGCTCGCACCTGTGCCTGAGGGCAGCATGGTGCTGGACCCAGAGCCCTATGTCGCCTCGCCCACCGACTCGTCGGATGGGGATGATCCGTTTCCCTTGGCGCATGCGCAGGACCCCTGGGCTCCAGTGCAGAAAGCCCCGCCAGCAGTGCTCCCCCAGAAGGCGCCAGCGCCGATGCTGCCGCCTGTCGTCCACGGACTGCCCCCGCCAGGGGCCGCGCAGCAGGCGGCCTATTGCGGCGGCGCTTCGATATTACTGGCGACGCCGTTGGGGATGGCGACAGCGATGGGTCGGCGGCGATGTTCACGTCGGGGGCGGGGGGGGGGACCCGTTAGCGGCGATGTCTCCCGCCAGGCGGCTGGCAGCTCGAGCGCGGGCATCCCGTTCAAGAATCCGCCGGCGAAGCATCCGGCTGGGGCGACTCAGGTGATGCCCTCGCCCTTGCCCTCAGTGCTCCCCCCCTCCTCGCCGTTGGTGCTGCTACTGCTGGTGCTGCTGATGTTGCTGCTGCTGCGTGCGCTGTGGATAGTTGCCTTAAACTCAGTGGGATGTGTTCTGGGCCTCAGTGGGGCCCTGATGTGACCGCTGCCAGACCTTCCTTCTCCTCCTTCCTCCTCCACCTCCTCCTCCTCCGTGTCACCCCCCCCTCCTCCTCCTCCTCTCCTTCTCCTCCTCCTCCGCCTCCTCCGCCTCTTGCTGCCTTCACCATTTCGTATTGAGCCGCTACCCCTGGCTTCATTATGCGCCCCTAGCCCTCTTCCTGCTCCTCCTGGTGTTTCTCCCCCTCCACCTCATCCTCCTCGTCCCCGCGACGGTGACCCACATCCACCATCATCGCGAGATCCCCGCGGTCAACATGGTCTTCGGAGCCATGTGGGCACACTACGCATTCCTCACCTTCAGGCAAAAGCTGGACCTTCTGGTCTCGTAGTCTCCGACTCTTGCGAGAGCGGTCAGGCCAACGCAGACAGCTGGTAGCGCGGTGTCTGTTGCTGGGGAGTGCCCAGCAGCCGACGCCGCGCTGGCAGCCCTTGTCAGCAGGTCTAGCCGCTCTAGCGGCTCCGGAGACCACGCCCCCTCCACCGCCAGGATGGATGGCAGACGTACTACACAGATGATTTCCACGCGGTCTACTTCCACAACACTGTGACGGATACGCAGCAGTGGTACCCGCCCGATGAGGAGAGCGCGGGCACAGGGGGTTCTTGAGCTGACTTTAGTTCTGCGCGCTTTAACAGATAATTGGTGAGCCCCCTTCCACGACGGAGGTTTCACCACCTGTCGTGAATACGAGCTAGCTTAGGCGTGGCATCCGCGCTGCCAGGCAACGCCAGACTTGGGTCGCCTGCAATGTCATCTCCACCCCGTCTCCATCTGTTTTTTTTCCTCTCTCTCTCTCTCTGTCCCTGCACGATCCGTCTCTGTGCCTGTCCGACGCGTCTCTCGCTCTCTATCCCTCGCCCTCTGTCTCTGTCCCATCCGTCTCTGTGCCCCCCCCCCCACCACCACTCTTCTCTGCACGCCGCTTCCTGCGCGCCCCGGAGCCTAAGGTCTACGCAGGCCAGGTGCAGCGCCGAATCGCCTTCAGGGCGCCCAATCCCACGACGTGGTGACCGCCTCTTTGCCCTGCGGGACCGAGAAAAAAAGATGGTGCAGAGGAAGCGGAGTGCAGAGAAGAGTGGTGGTGGTGGTGGGGGGGGGCACTGGCGTGCCACCGTGTGCAGCATGTGGCAGGTGTTCCGAAGTTACGTTGGCATGTGCAATGTCTTGCTTGCGGCTCATGTTTGCGCATGGGAGGACTCTGCAGTTGTGGCGCGGCCACGGCCGCTTGAGGCCGTCATGGACCGATGTCGGTCGGTCCGCCAGTGCTCCTGGCCCTTGGGGGGCTGTCGCCAGGTCCTGCGTTGCCCTTCTGTCGGCGTGGCCCTTGGGGGCCTGTCGCCAGGTCGGAGCGTTGCCCTTCTGTCGGCGTGGCCCTTGGGGGCCTGTCGCCAGGTCCTGGGTTGCCGCGTGTCCACTGGAGGCCTCTGGACACTTGTAAAGACCGCTGGAGGCTATCAGCCCGCCCCCTCCCTTGCCGCCCAGGTCCAAGACGACCCGCTGCAACTGGCCATCAAAGCCATGCACGACAAGATCCCACCTCAGCACTTGCCCTGTCTCCTGGACGGTATCTCCGAGGGTGCCTTCAAGGTTGGGACAGGCTATGTGTATACATCTTCTCCATACCATCTGTCGTCTGTCTTCATAAGCCCACGCTCCCCTCCCGCTGTTTCCGACGCACCCCCATGCCCTCCCCCCCGTCCTGCCCCCCCCCCTCACCCCCCCCCCCCCCCGCCCCCCCCCTCCCCCCCCCCCCCCCCCCCCCCCCCCCCCCCCCGCACCCCCGACCCCCACCACCCCTCAGTGCATCTGACGCTTCCCAGCCAGGGATGGGGCGGCACGCGTGGGAGTGGGGAATGGCTTCCTACTGGGTTCCTTGGGATGCGTGGGTGGAGGTCGGGCGGGGGGGGAAGAGTTTGTCTTGCCCAAGCCTCGTGGATATCCACGAAGCCCCCCGCCCGCCCCCGGCTTCGATCGGCTAGAGGCTTCAGCGGGAGCGACGTCTTCGCCAAAATCCTCGAGGCCTTTTCGCGGGAGTGGGAACGCCGCTACCAAAAATCTGTTTCGTTTGAGTGCATCTTCCAATGCGAGAAGGGCAACTTGCAGCAGGCCTTCCTTCGCTCGCAGTTCCCTGGCGTCAAGTATTTGTTTGGAGACATGGCGGAGCCAGCGCCTTAAGCCGCGTTGCTGGGTTCCGCGCCCCCCGTGCCCCACCGGCAACGCATTTGTTAGATGGCGTTGCGGAGCGACGTCCCGCTTGCATGCACGCCCCCACCCTCCCCCGTCTTTGGCTCGGGCGCTTTCTCTTCTCTCGTCTGGCGTTGACCGTGCGCGCGATCAGGCCTTTGTTCGCCACATGATCTGCCGTGTCTTCAGGCCATGCATTAAAGTAGGTAGATCGATGCGTGGACGCACCGATCATCTCTGGGACACTCTGTCTGAGACGCATCTAAGGCTCTCCAAGCCGAGGGTCCTGGACCTTAAATCTGGGACTCGTGTTGTGGTGCCGCCAGTGGATGTTTTTTTCTGCTGGGTTTACGTGCACGACCAAAAGTGCATTGAACGGGGCTACGAGAGGACAACGTCTGTCACCCATTCAGAGTGGCGAGGGAGAAACAGGCAAGGCTTGGCGCATGACTGCGGACTACATTCAAAAAGCTCGGCCTCGCGTCGTTGTTCTGGAGAACCTCACCGCGCTCATGAATGAGGCAGAGCCGGGGGCGTGCCCCGACAGCATCGCCATCTGCGAGTTCCTGCGCGAGAACGGCTACTCAGCCCGTGCCGCGGCCTCGGGACTAGCTTATTGGCACTGGCGGCACTGGCGTGCGTTACCGTTCGGGGCCTGACGGCGGCGGCGGGGGGCGACGAGGTCAGGCGCTTGAGGATAGCCCGGGTAAGGATTGTGCTGCCCTGCAGTTTGCCTCGCTTACACTTCCTGCCTCCGCCGGCTGCCCCCCCCCCCGCCCTATGCCAGTGCCCATGTTGTTGCATCGGCCCCGCCATCCGTCTCCGCATCCACTTCATCTCAGCCCCCCCCCCCCCCCTCCACTCCCCTGCCCTGCCGCAACGCTTAGGCGATGCGTGTGAACGCGCAGGAGTACGGCTCCGTCGTCACGCGCATCCGCATGGCGGTGGTGGCCTTGCTTGATGATTCGGTTGGAGCGGGGCTTACTGTGGTATCGTCCGTGCTTCCGGCGATCAAGGTCCCACAGCTGCCGCTCGATTCTTTCTTTGAATGGGAGAGCGTTCCCCTCTTTGAGGGTTCCGAGCCCCCCGCGATCAAGAAACTGAAAGGTCTTTCGCAACAACACGGTGAGTACTTCACGGATGCAGGCATCGCTTACCCTCCTGACCTCACAAACTACGATCCAGAGTTGGCGACTGTGGTGAGCCCGCTGTGCAACGCGCAGATCGAGGCGCGCCCTGCAGCTTCAATGCATTGTACATGTCCTCGCGTCATGCCGGGTTTGGCGCCGCCCGTCGAAACGTCGCAAGACTCCCCCCCCCCCCACCCACCCGTAATGTGATGTGCCCTGTGATGGGCCCAGTGTTGCCGCTTTTTTACTTGGACGCCATTTTGCGAGTCCGCTTGATCGTGAGGGGGGCCAGGGCTAGGAGCCTGGAGGCGACGGGGGACGGCGGAGAAGGCGCCCGGGGAGGAGACAGATCACGCGCTCCAGCAGGATCAGGATTAGCACTGGAGCGGGGGCGGCCAGGGGACGGCGGAGGAGGCACCTGGGAAAGAGGCAGAGGACGCGCTCGCTCAGGATCAGGAGTTGCACTAGAGGGTGGGGTCAAACTGGTGGGGGGATGCGCTAGCCGAAGAGGAGAGCGAGGAGGGTGCCCCCCAGCCCCCCCCCCCCCCTCAGCACAGGTGGCAATCTACGGCCACGAGTGCGACCCCTGGCCAGCAGCTCCAGGGATTATCCAGTGGGCAGATATCAACTTGTCTCTTCGTTTCTCCCTCGGGAGCGATGGCCGCGGAGCCGTGTTCAAGGAAGCGATGCCGACTCTCACTACCAAGTCGGTGCTCATGATGAGGATCATGAAGGCTGACGGCACGCGGCATTGGAGGCGCCGCCGATACCCGTTCTCTCTTACTGCCCGTCGTCTCTCGTTGTTTCTGCCCCGCCGCTCCCGTCGTCTGTCGTTGCCACGTCCTTTCGCTGTAGTATTTGATTGCCTTTCTCACCGCTCCGATCATGGTCGATCCCCTCTAGGGCACGGGCATCTCAGCTTCTTTCTTTGATGCGTGTTTCGCCCCAATCGTCCTGCTCCGCTGTCGGCGCCAGGCTGATCACGGGCGAGCTCCTGCTCAGGCTCATCGGCTTCTTTGGTGCCGGGCCCACTGAGGACGGATTGGCGCGCCTCCTTGTGGGGAATGCTTACAGTGGATTTGCGTTTGCCGCGGTTGCTTTGGCTGCTTTCTCGGGGGTCGGGCGGGGTCGCCACCCGTGCATTGGCGACTCGGCGTAGATGGCAATTAGACGAAGGTGGGATCTTTAAGGGGGATTTCGGATTTCAGGTTGATGTTTACGGATGACAGATTGGGTAGCGCACGCGCAACTCTCAGGGGATGGAGTAGATGGGGGGAGGGATGAGGCGGAGGAGGAGAATTGCCCGGACAGTCTACGCCCCCGTTTCCAGCGGCTTGCGTCGGGGGTCTCACCTCCAGGCAGCGTTCCTACCGCGCCGGGCGAATTTGCATTTGATTCGGCCCCGACCCTCTCCCTGATGATCTGGGCGTTGCCCCGCTCATCCATCGAGCTGCGGGTAAGCCGAGGGAGAGGGTCGCCTGTGAAGGCGCGCAGGCAAGCTTCCAGGGCAGAGAGTCGGTCGCGGCTGATTCTCTGTAAAACCTAATTCCGCACTGTGTGGATGTGTCTCCTCGTCGCCCCCTCCGCACCTCCCTCCGCGCCTCCCTCCCCCCCCCGCCCCTCACTGCCTCCATCCTTCCCTTGTGCCTACCTCGCTCGTCACCCTCCTGCGGCTAGTACTGTCACACGCTTGCTTCCTCGTCCGAGCCTGGGGGAAAGGGGTGGGGCGGTGCAGAAGGACGCAGGACATTCGCAACGGCGCAACGCACTCCTCCTGCTCATCATGCAATTGCCGCCTATAGTTATCCCATTGTGTCGGGGCCCGCACGCCGCTGAACCACTGCCGCCTGTGGGTCGCGCGTTCAGCTCGGAGGCTCGAGAGCTTCCTGCGGCGGAGGCCGATCACTCGAGCACCGCGGCCCCGCACCGCCTGGCCCGTCGCCCCGCGGACTCACAGGCCCATGGCAGACACTGGCGCTAACCAGCCTGACCCAGCAGAGACGCCCGACCTTCTCTACGGCCGCGGCGATCCGTCTCGGGCCCGTTACGGGCTGTGGGGCGCTGAGAACGTCGACAAAATCGTGATCTCTTGCACGTTTGAGGCAGGCGTGCAAGTTGAGGTCACATGTTCCTCTCTATCGTCCTACCCCAACTCCCCGCAACCTCCCCGCCCAACTCCCCGCCTCTCCGCGCGTGCTAGGTCATCCCGGACGGCAGGCTGTGCGGGTTATGCGGCCGCCGCGACACCGAGCAGGACCACGTCTTCAATGGTGAGTGCTTGCACTGGGGGTTCAAGCCAATGAACAAGAAGAACCGCGGCTCGTTCTGCTTCTACTGTGTGCGGACCCACGCAGGCTTCTGGGCATGGTGCGTCTGCTGCTGCTTGTCCCCCGCCCCCCCGCCTCCCCAGCATCGACGTCCTCCTCCTCCTACGTCGTAGTTCTCCTCAGTGTCCTGTTTTTCTCCTGGCCGTCCTCCTCTGTCTCCTCTGCGTGCTAGCCGAGCGCCTCCGCCCCGTCCCCCCCCAGCCCCTCCGCCTCATTCTTCATGTCCTCCTCCTCCTCCTCCGCCTTCTCCGCCTCCTCCTCCTCCTCCTCCTCCTCCTCCTCCTCCTCCTCCTCCCCCCCCCCCCCCTTCTCCCCCTCCTCCGTCTCCTCCCTCGCCTCCTTCTCTCCTTCTCTCCGCCCCCCCTCTTCGTACTCTGTGCCAGGAGGAGAACGAGGAGGATGCGACGGGGGTAGATGGGGTGGCGAGGAGGCGCATGATGGGCTTGCAATCTCCCAGCCAGGATTCTACGGAGATCAGCCAGCGACGCAGACGTGCGCCCTGCTGGTTCCAGTCATTGGCAGCAACCGTGAAGTGTGCGAGGAGTTCTTCACTCGCCGACACGAGGCCGTGGCCTACTTCGTGAATGCGAAGGCCACCCGCGGGGTCAGAGTTGCCTGGCGCGAGATCCAAGAGAAGGTCGAGAGCTACAATAAGCACGAGGTGCAGACGAAGCGAGCTCCAGACAGGATACTTCTACTGGCCGATTATCAGGCGTCGCTGGGCGACCCGTACAGCAACGGTAAGGGCCACCAGGTGTGCATGTACAAAGGGCACCAGTGCGTCCGCATCCCTGGGAAGCTGGAGTGGCTGGTCCAAGAAGTGGAGACGCAAGGCGTTAGCAAACGCCGCCTGAACCAGCACTCGGACGACGCCATCTTCGACGGTCAGCTCCAGCGTGGATTTGATGGGTTGGTGTCTAGTCTGACAAGCTTGTTTGCACGGCCATCTGGTGAGGAAGCCCCTAGCATTTTTTGCCAAGGCGTCTGCTCCGCCGCAACCAGCTTGCATCCCGGCTCCGCCAGCTGTCGCTACGCCACAGGGTGGGATGCAGCCCGGCAGCAGCTGCGGCGTGTTTCAGGCCGCGTACTTCCCAGTGGCCATGCCGCCAGCAGCGCCGCCATCAGCACCCAGTGTGCCTGAGCCAAAGAAAGGCGCCAGGGCCAAAGGCAAGGCTGGGGCGGGTCCTCGGCGCATCCGTCCATCCACCGAGTCTGACTCAGAGGGTGCGAACAGCCGCCGGGGACCTGGCCGCCCGCGCGCGAACAGGCGCCAGGTGCTGCTCACGCACTTGAAGGAGTTTCGCGAGAGCGCCCAGGACGAGAAATACTTCGCCATCGCCAACTTTCGCAGGCAGCTTGAGGGCGCAGTCGCCAATTTCAGCAACACGATCGTGCCTGCTAAGCAAGTGGAGGAGGAGCGCAAAAGCGCAGCTGAGCAGGGTCAGCCAGAACCAGAGCTCTACGCGGACAGCGACGACATCCAGGCGCTGAGGAAGCAGGGCCAGGAGGCGGTCTCCATTGCGAAAGCCTGGGCGAAGAACTCCGAGTTCGACAGAGACTTCGCCAGGTCTTACCGCATGTCCTTGACTTTTTTGTCTACACCTCCTACAGCGGAGGTGCCGCTCCCAGCCTGGATGCTCCAGGAGTTTATCGCTAAACAGGTCGAGGCCCGACTATGCATGAATCAGTTGGCTCTCCTGGATGCGAGTTTCCCCTGGCTGACCACTGCCCCGCTTCCAGGCGACCCATTGTCGCCGCTGATAGGGATGGGGACTGTGGTCAGTTAGCGTGGAAACCTGCAACCATTGGCGTCCACAGTGTCATGCCACAAGGCTGCGACTCCCGACGAGGCTATGTGGTGTCTTTTGAGCCCTGAGAAACTAGCGGAAGCAGGGTACCCAACGCCAGCGTCGCAGATGGCAATGTGCACTGACATGGCCAAGATGAAGATTAGCATGATTGCGCAGAGCAAAGCGCAATTCATTTGTCAGGATTTGGCACGGCTGGCGTCGTCTCTACCATCGTCGGCGGATGACAAGGTGAAGGCCGACATGAACGCCTTGAAGGTAGCGCTGGGCTTGCTCGACGAGAATGCTATGCCGCTGGCTACTGAGCTTGAGGTTGCCGGCGAGGCCGTGGAGGCCATCATGAATAATGCGTTGCCGATGGCTGGCTCAGTCGTGCAGTGGCCTGAAGCCAAGAAGCTCTTGCGCGATGCGCAGGTCGCTTTGGCAAGCTTCTCCAAGGGCTATGACCAGTCGAAGCGGATCAGGTCTCTCCTGCAGAAGGCGCTCGACAATGCCCAGCAGGACGCGACGACCCTGGACTTGCGCACCCGCATGGTCAGCACAACGGGCCACATTAAGGGCATATCGGACGTCCTGGCCGAGTCGACGCCGCTGTCAAAGAGGTACTTCGTCACCCCCGAGGTGGAGGACGCGCTGGTGGAGTACAGTGGGATCGCTGGGGACCTGCTCCTGGACATGTCTAAGGATCGCCCTCTCCCGATGCCCCGTGACATCCGCATTGCATCCCTCCCTTGCCTTACTCCAGCTTTCCAATCCGTTGCTCCCGTGTTGTCATGTCGCCTCTTGCCATGCGCCCAGTCCTCTCCACGAGGAGCTCGTGGACAGGGTTGTCACAGCGATGGACCGCCCGCTTGAGGAGGCGATTTGGGACAACACCGAGTGGGCTGGTGGGTCGAAGCTATTGGCTGACTTGATTGGGGCAGTGGACGATATACCGAAGCTGTCCAAGCATACGCAGAGCGAGCTTGATACGCGGGGGTACTCGGAGACGGCTAAGTTGGTCGATGCGTCACCTGGCGTTGTGAAGATGTTCCACGACCGCAACGAGACTGGAGCGCTAATTGCACGGGTGCCCGAGTACATGGAGAATGTCCGTAAGGCTCTGGCTGGGAACCTGACGCAATTCTGGGAAGGTCATGCCGTGGCCGAATCGGTCTCTGCCGTGCTGGAGAAGTTCGCGACCTCCGAGGCGTTCGCGGATATATCGGGCATGCTGGCCAAGCGCCTCACTGAGCGCATCGAGATGTTCGTCCGCATAGCGAACGGGGCCATCTTTGGCAACTTCCCGAATGACTTGTTCTGGCAGGCCGCCTGGGCCGACTCCCTCTGCACGCCAGATGACATCATCGGGCGGGCGGTCTTGATCTGCGGCTCGGGCTACGGCGTGGCCCTCACGCAGGACGCCGAGGCGGCCTTCCAGGACGCGACTGAAGCCGCGAGGTACTCTGACGAGGTGTTCCGTTGGCACGTGGGGGCGATCATGAACGTAGGCAGGGTGTGGCTTCGTGGTGTCCCATTGATCACGTGCAAGCTTGACTTCGACGCGGACGCCGCCAAGGCGTGGGTCGACGGCAGAGATGCGATGGACAAGCTGGTGCTGACGGTTGACTCCATCCTCCGCTCGCACGAAGCAGCCAGCGGCATGACCTTTGCCGACTGGGACTGGGGCGTTAAACCAGTCGGACCATGAGGAGGACGGAATGCATTGGGGAGCAGGCGTACCAGGGCGACGGGGAAAGATGGGAGACGACGAGGAGGATGAGGCGGCGACGGTGGACGCAGTGGACGTGGAGGCGGAGGGGGAGGGGGGGAGGTGGAGGAGAAGACGACGGAGTTCTCCTCCTCCTCTTCCTCCTCCACCTCCTGTCTTGCGCGTTATCCGTGTAAAGGGTCCACGTCTCTCAGGCAAACTATTTGAGGAGTGGGGCTTCTCGAACAACGAAGCGCATGCCAGGTGATGTGTTGTCGGTGAGAGCTTCTCGGAGGTCTCTTGGGCGCATCTTGAGCTCGCTAGGGGTCCTGTTGGGGATCTCTTGGCGCCCTCATGGGGCCCGCTTGGAAGTCTTTTGGGGTCCTCTCTCAGGAATTCCCAGCGGGGGTCGTCTCCGCCGTCCTTCCCTCGGTCGCCCGCAGTCGCTCAGGACTTCAGGGGCACGATGTTTGTGCAGAACCTCGAGACCTGCTTCGATGCGAAGGGCAGGTCGGCCTCGGGTCTGTTCGACGGCTTCCCGATCCCCAGGGCCATCCGCGATTCGCTAGTCGCCATCGAGAAGTCGTTGGTGGAGACCCGGTCTCGGTGGATCGCAGGCTTCGAGGCCGCGTACACCAGCATCGGGGACTGGCAGCCGAACTGGCGCCCCGTGAAGGATGTGCTGCTGGCCAGTCCTCCGCACCCAATGACGAAGGAGTTGGTCGGAAACAAAATGCTCAAACAGTTGGGCCAGCTGTGCGCTGACATGGACGCGCGCCTCAAGCTCTGCCGGCGCGTCCCGACCATCTTCGAGGCCACCGACCTGTCCAAGTGGGAGGCCCGCGTGCTCGAGGGGATGGTCACCATATCCCTTACCTTCACAATCTTCTCCATGAAGTACGCCTTCCCCCAGCTCAAGGGCCCCAAAAAGCTCAAGGTTCCCAGGGTTGATATGGAGGAGGGCGAGAGTCAGACGCGGGAGTCGCGGCTCGGGGGAGGATCCAGGAGTGCAACCTCATAGGTGGAAGCGAGGGCAGAGGATGAATGAGGCGTTTCGGCGTGGACAGGCTGCACGGACAGGGGGGGGGAGGAGTTGCGAAGTAGGATACGAGGATGAGGATAATCATGAGTAGCGGGGTAGGTGCGTGGAGCGGGGTCGGAGAAACCGTAGGAGAACTCGGTGAGCAGGAGACGCATGATGATGATGATGATGATGAGTGTGATGATGATCCTGATGCTGCTGATTATGATGATGATGATGATGATGGTGATGATGATGATGATGATGATGATGGTGATGATGATGGTGATGCTGATGATGATGCTGATGATGATGGTGATGCTGATCCTGATCCTGATGATGATGCTGCTGATGATGATGCTGATGATGATGATGATGCTGCGGAGGAGGATGAGGAGGATGTGTTTTGGGGCGGCAGCTGGGGAGGAGGATCATCTCCCCATCCGTCCCCGCCCCCAGATTGCGGCTGACAAGCTCAAGGCCGAGCTCGAGCAGAAGGGCGTGTGGGCGCATATGCCCACCTGCGTCTCCGCCGCCCTCGCGGGCGGCGGCCAGATCCTGGAGGTGGGCGACGGTGAGGTCCCCTCCGACGCGTTCGGCGCGGCTGCGTGAGGCACCGCCGGCGGGGGAGGGGGCGGGCGACGGCTGCGTGGCCATGTGGGTCGGCCTCAGCCTTGCTGCCCCCCCCCGCCCGTCCTCGCACCAGCCTCAGCAGGCCGTGGTAGCAGCTGCAGCAGCCGCAGCAGCAGCAGCCGCAGCAGCAGCAGCCGCAGCAACAGCAGCCGCAGCAGCAGCAGCAGCGGCCCCAGCAGGTGGCCGCAACAGCAGCAGCAGCAGCCGCACCAGTCGCAGCAGCAGCAGCCGCACCAGTCGCAGCAGCAGCCGCACCAGTCGCAGCAGCCGCACCAGTCGGCTGAGGGCGATAGGATAGACTGGACTGGAGCGCCAGCGCACGCCGGCGCGCCGATGGCGAGACTGGAGAAGAGGAGGAGGAGGAGGAGGAGGAGGAGGAGGAAGAGGAGGATGCCTAGAGTGTGGCGCAGAGACTTCCTCTTTGGCACTAGCAGGAGGAGGAGGCGGAGGAGGAGGAGGAGGAGGAGTAGAAGGAGGAGGAGGAGGTGGAGGAGGAGGAGGAGGAGGAGGAGAGGGGGCTCGCGTGCTGCCCGCCCCGCCACGCCTCTCTTCTCCTCGTGCCGCCCTACTCTTCTCCTCGTCCACGTGCTGCTTCCATTTCCCCTTCCATGACCGTTCTGTCCTTCGTATTGCTCCCAGTTAGTTGATCCATCGCGGCCTGCCGGCCCACGTCCCCGCTCAGGGTCTCGCCGCTGGCAGCCGACGGTCGCGTCGAGTATGTGTTCGGCTAGTTTAGGGTTTCAGTATCATGTTGTATTTTCAATATTTTTCAGAATATTTCGTAATTAATTGTTGGGGGCGTTGGAATTATTTATTGGATATGTTTCTATTATTTGTTGGGGAATGGCCCTCTGCGTTCCCCGGGGCCGCTCAAGTAATTCACCGCCCACCAAACCACCCCAACCCAACCCGAAGGCTCATATTTTCCCTCGATTTCCAGTGGGGGGGGGGGGGCGGGAAACGTCGAAAAAACACATGTGGAACCCTTACCCCCCCCAACCTGAAATTCGGGTCTTCGGGTTGGGTTGGGGTGGTCTGGTAGGTAGTCAGCAATCGGGCTTACAGTCAACTCGCATGGGATGGGCCACCTTCCCAAGAGCACCCGTGCATCCTTGCCTCCTCCGCCCATCCTCGGCCGCGTTTGCGGGCCGCGCCCCGCTCGAGAAGCCTCGACATGGGCGTTTTAGGCCCTCGCATCCTTCTCGCGCATCCATGATACGGGCCGACTGTATGGGGATCAACTACTCCAGATTTCGCAATAAAAGGGAGGGGGTCTGGACCCTCCAAGACAAGCCATTTCAGACCTCCCCCGTGGGAGAACCCTCCAAAACATCGTCCCCAGACCCCCCCAGGCCCTCCAAGATAGCCTGGAAGAGACCCCCCCCCGAAATGAGACCCCCCTCCCTTTATTACGAAATCTGGAGTAGATAATCGATTTACTTCAAAGGTGGTGCTCCCGCCGAGTATACAAGCGGCGCGTAGGTTCGTAGATCCACGGGGCATTGTACGCATTTGCTTGTGGATTTGGCGGGGAAGTCAACCTTAGGAAGGCTCGGAAGGTTTTAGGTGCCGATTTCGGGCTGTCGAGGTCCCTCTCTCTACCTTCGGGCCCCGCGAAAGGCTACAGTCGGGGCGCTGAAGAAGGAACTCTTTTCGTTGGGTAGGGGCTCCGTGTTCCTGATTGCTTCGCAGTTTGCCCTACGTTCCCTTAGGTTTTCGAAGGGAAATCGAAGTTCAACTTCTGGAGAGAAGGCGCCCCGTTCCTTACTTAGGGTTCCTTAGGTCAGCGCCCCGACGGTAGGAGAGGCGCGGGGGGGGCGGGACCGGAGGTCTGCTGCACGCAGCCGGCTTCCGCGCCGCTGCCGGGCCCATTCCTCGATGCACGGGCGCCTCCCCGCGCCAGGCGGCGACGGGAGAACCGAAGCATTCGAGGCGAGCAGTGGCGAAGCGTCCCGGCTCGCCTATAGGCCCACCAAAGAGTGTTCTCAGAACATCTTTGGGGGGGTCTGCACGACGCGTTATTAGACCATTTCTGGCTGGGGCCGTCTTGCTTTTGTTGTTTATACACGTCGGACTTGTGTCCTAAGGAGCTTGGTTTTGTTATCAGAACCTTCTTGGGTGCCAAGAACACTTCGTGGTAGGCCTATAGTCACCGAGCGCGTTCCACTATTCGCAAAGTGCCTACTCGCAAACGTCCGAAAGAAACACACATGTCTGCTTGGATGAAATCTATCGTAGGTTCCCCTCGGCAGACCCACGCCATCTGCGAGTAGCTACTCTGCGAGTAGTGGAACGCGCTCCTCTACATAGCAATGCCGGGACGGTCGGCCCCTGCTCAATCGAGGCGCCCCCCCCTGCCCCGCGCGGTCCAGGGAGAGGTCGAGGGTCCCGGGCCCCCCCGCACACACCACAGGCACGGGCAGGGGACAGGGGACCACGAGGGACGCGGGCCAGTGGCGAGCTCAAGTCGGGCCTGCCCCCCCTGCAGGAGGAAACTTCGAAAAGAGCCAGACAAGTAGCCTGGTGACGATATCTTGCGTATCCTTTGCCATCTTTTCTACACGTGCTTGGAATAGCTTGGACTTGTCGTCCACAATCCGCCTGTAGGGGGACATGCCCGACCGATCGGCAAACCCAAAGCACACGGGCCCAGAGCACCGACCACAGTCGACCTGGGGGCGCACGCAGTGCGCAGGCTGTCCCCGAGAACCTTGCCGAAGCTGAGGTCGACGGCGCCGCCGCAGACCGACGCAGGCGGGCCGACCCGAGCCATTCGGACGGCGACGGACCGCATCACATCCGCTCGGTCAGCCCCCATGGTTTCAGCCTCGAGACCGACGGGAATACCTGCCTCCAGCTTCAGCAAAAGCACAATACCACCACCCTTGCTATGCAAGATTCGAGGCACCCAGCCAGACACCTTCTTGCTTACACCCGCTGTGCCAACACTGCGGCACATGGCGGATGGACTGCCCGATGGGGCTTCTCACCACCGTCAGGCCGATGCCTTCGCAAAAGCCGTTGCGGAGGCACCGACCACACGACGGCCCCCAATGGCTCCAAGCAAGGCGGTGTGGCCATTTGTACGCAACCAGCGCTGGTCGGCACTGCCACCGAAGACCCGACAGTCGCCGACCTCCGCAGCACCACAAGGTGGCACGAATGTTTCTGGCCGTGCAAGACCAAGCGCAAAACTCGCAGAAGACGAGGTGCGCCCCAGAATGTATCTACGTGGCCTCTCTCTACGGCTATGCCACCGGAGATAACGCCGATTTGTTCCGTAAAGCCGTGGCGGTTGCCGCCGCGGTTGGATCCGCCCATTTTTTCAGCGCTTGGATTCTAACACGGATCTAAACGCGAACGCATTCCTCGTGCGCATGTTGCAGGAAGTCTGTCCCGACGTTAGCGCGCCAACCTTTGCCACCAGCAACATCTGGGACCGCCGCTCCAACTGCGCTGGCGCCACGCGGATAGACTTTGCCCTTACTGACGCCGCGGGAAGGCACTTTGTCGTTGACTTCGCCCTGCTCCGGAGAAAAAAAAACTCCCTGCCAAACAACCTTTGGGCCTCCAGGTCGCCCTGGACATGCAGCGTTTCGACCAGACCGCCCCGCGCCTGCGCAATCCTGCACCCCATCCGCCCATCACGCCAGTTCACATGCCGCGGGAAGAGCAACATGATGTAGGAGAGATCGTTGTCCGCAAGTACCAAACGGCCTTCAGTGCTGCGGACCAGGTTGGCAACGTTCAGGATATATTCCTGGCCGCTAACAAAGCCAGCCACACCTACAACCTCACCATCCTGCGCGATAGACCGCCCCCTACCAACGAGGAGCCGCGCCAGCGAGCTCCCATCAGACACGGAGAGGCGCACCTGTGTCCGGTTCCCCCCCTGTCGCTCCAAGGGCTTTCCCCGAGTGCGGAGCCGCCGCCGAGCACATGCACCGCCTTGACAAGAGGCTGAGGCGACAACTCACCGAACTCCGCTTCGTCGCCACGCCGCAACCCGCGCGCAAACCGCCCCCGTCCCCTCCCGCCCCCGACAGCAGCAACAACACTGCCCGGCAAGAAAACCGCGCGCGGGCGGCCGCCCGCGCCCTGGCTGGCCGCCTTCGGCCAGCTGCCTCTGTCGATTCCCCGCAGCTGCGGAACGACCAGGCCCCTCCGCGCGGGAAACAACTGGACGGGGTCATCACCAACGTGGAGTGAGTCCTGCGTCGGCGCGGCCAGGAAGCCAAGGCCGAACGCGCCATGAACTGGACCACCCGCGCGCGACAAACTGA